GAAAGTATCTACTTCCACAAAGGCCTAGAGTTCAAACTGTTCTGATGGCACCAAATGTGAAAAACCCTACATTCAACCTCTATTACTGCAACTTGCCTTAGCATCAACCCTCCCCTGAGAGTGAACAGGAAACGCGAGCTCCCCCTAGCGGCAGCCAAAACGGTGGTGGTAGGTTTTCCAGCGTTGCCAGCAGCATTTATCAAACCTATCATTAAATACTTTTTTTCCAACTTCGAGTTTATTAGAGGGGAGAGATGAACTTTTTATTTGGTAGAAGGCTTTATAGGAGGAGTCTGAAGTTAATTTTAAGATATTTGGCTTTCCCATTGGCTGAAATACTTAAGAAATCCTAGAAATTGAAGAAAGCCAGTTTTATCTTTGAAATTAAAAAAAAGGAAGAAAATAAGTACGTTGTTCATCTTAGCCATAAACCTTACTTTTTTATTTTTATTTTTTTATGACCTGCTAAGCCTGCCCTGGGGCGGGGAACATGTGGTACCAGAGATTGAACTGTGGTCCTCTGAGCTTTACCTAAACTTGCCTAAGTGGGTGCTTTAGACCACTGAGCTCTCTCACCGACCCCATGCTATGGACCTTCTTGCAATGAAGAGCTCAGTGTACTTGTGATACTTGTCTGGTTCACTGAAGATCTATTTTTCCTCTTGCTCTTTGTCAACAGAACCCTACTTTTCCTCGAGGTTGATTCCTCTGTGTGGTCAGGGCATTGGGGCATTACGAACCTCAGTGACAGAGGTAAGTCATAATTGACTCTCAGTGCAAATAGGGGTTACCTGAGGTCCTTAGACATGCCTAGTGATCAGCTGGAAGCTCTTATTAAAACCAGAGCCTTGGCAGGGGGCTTCCTGTGGTACTGAGGAGCAGTCAGGATTGGTTGAACCAGTCATGGGCTACACATTTCCAGTGATTAGGTCCATGCTTACTACATAAGGGTGACAGTGACTAATTTTTCAGGTTTGTTGATTTTACTCACCAAAACTTTTCTTTTAGAAAGAAGATCACAAGAAGAAAAATTTTCCCTTCTCAGGATGATCTATTTGCATGTAGTACTTGCAACAGGTAACAGCCATGGTAGAAACATGAAGGTGAGTTGGCATAGTGTGGGTGATACAGAGGTAAAGGGAAAGAATCCTCGATCCTGTTGGCTGAGGCCACCCTATTTTCATATTTGTTTGTATGTGCATTAGTCAATGCCCTTTGATTTTTAAAGTATGTTTTAGTTTGGTTTTTGTTATTTGCAGGCAAAAACATGCTCAACTCACCTGTCCTTCAGGTAATTACTCACAGTACCAATTCTGGCTTATTGTATGGCTTTAGTCCAAACATAAACTGACGTGGATGAAGGTAAGACATCATTTAAGAGCCATTCTTAGTTTAGGAGACAGATGTCAATGGATAAAAATACCTTATAAAAATCACCCATGGAATTTCATGAGGCAGATGCACATCTCATCTCAGCTTTTTGAGAAGAAAGGTATATTAGTAAAATTGGCATTTGGATTATATACAGAGAGGGAATTGGGAAATATATTTTTCTCTCTTGGTGATTTAGATATATCCTTAAGTTCTCATCTGTTGCTGAGAAATACTAGTTTAGGAAACACTAACCACTTGAACTACATGAGTCTCCAAATTTCAACTCATCATTAAGCTATGTCATGAGGAATACCTCATCTATGTTTCTAGTGGACCTTTGTATCATTTTTTTCCTTTATGGAAGGATGATTTTATGTTCTCTTCTATATTAGCACATCCTTACAACTTGGGTATAAAAATATACCAATGTTCCCTTACAAATAATTGAATTACTTCCAGCTAAGTCTGTCCTATATTGAAAATATGTTTAATATACATAACATACAGAACATCCTTGTGACAGTGTGGGTGAGAGCTGTGTGCAACTTGTCTAGTTTTGCAAGAGAGTCTCTAGCCTGGGAGAAGATCAAAATTGAGAATTTGAATCAAAGTTTAAATGAACGTCACATTAACACCATTGTTAAGTTGGAAAGCCATTGAAGACCACTTGTCCTTTGTGATTTCCTCCTTCCCAGAAGTTCTGGAGTTCATTAGAAGACTCAGACATGTCTTTAGCATGTCAGTAATTGCTGTGCTTATGATGACTCCAGCAAGCCAGGTGGCACAGTCAACCTGATGGCAGAGTTCAGTCCACCATGACAGAATGGTCTGGTTCTATCTGATGTCACTGTGGCCCAAAGATACTCTTTTTTTTCAGTACCTGGGATTGAACTTAGGACCCTTTATTTGCCATGCAGGTTCTTATTTTACAAAGTTATCTCTTAGGCCTTAATATTCTTAGTCTTTGTAATACTACTGAAGCTCAGTCAGCTTTCATAAGTGTACAGAAAAGCTTCCTCCTTCAGTGTGATGCTTTTTTAGCAATAGAAACTTGTTTTGGTCATAAATCTAGAATTCCATGAAGGAGTACTTTCAGCTCATATGTAGAAACACTTCACTCATGTATCTCCAGCACTGTTGGCTGAAGATATAATTTAAGACCTGATACCATGAGTTCCCTTGGACATGTATTCCTTGGTTGGGGGCTGAGACCCATATTCCCTTTTACCTTAATGTGAACTGTTTTTAAAAGCTCTGTAAGTTCTTGTCTAATCTGGATTAGAAGGTTGAGGCTTTCTGGCCTATTAGATTGGATGATTTGTCTGAGTGTCTGTGAGGTTTGCGGTTGCAGGGGCTTTCCCCAAGTGCACATCAGTAGATATGACCATTCAAGTGATAGATGGATGCAAGTGTGCATGTGTGTATATGAACTGCCATAGCCAAAGACCTTAAGGACTCAGGGCTGTGAGGACACCCTAGTTTATATCATGAAAGGCACTGGAGCTAAAGCAACCCCCACTGCCACTCACTCTATTTAGCTAACATTGATATGTCTTCTTATTATATTTTTTCATAGAACTTTGCAATGTCTTATACTATCCTATCTATTTGTAACACAAATCCTGAGAACAGAAGCTATCTGTTCAGTATACACCAAGGCCTGCTCATTGTTTGTGGATAAAGTCACAAATGAAATCTCATAGATGCACTTACACCTCATGGGAAGACTTAAAAGTCTTGCTGAAGGTGGAGATCCTGAGCTACGCTTTCAATATCATAACAGGAAAGGAAGGATCTGGAAAGGCAAGTAGGTAGATAACAGTTTGGCAATGTTCTCTAAGAAGTGAAAATGATATAAGAAGTAAAGCCATGCTGTTATGTTGAGCTGTAGGGGACTCAGGTCAACAATTTCTGACATTGCCAGTGAAGTGGAAGACCCAATACTATTATGGATTACTGGACTCTTTTAGAATATTTTGCTGAGTTAACACACCTATAATATTCAAATAACGGAACTTAACAAAAAAAGGGGATACAGATGAATGTCCATTTTGTATCTGTGTATTCAAAGTGGTTAGGATAGATATATAGATACATTCTCTTAATGAATAGAGGGATTTGTTCTAATAGTGTTTGTAAATAGGATATCATGTCTGCATCTTGAACAACAATTAACCAGTAGGAAGAATGTATGCAATGTGTTAATTATTGAATCTGTCCTAAAATTTGGTTTGAAAAAATAAAACAAAATTAAATTAAATTAAAAAATAAATAAATTTTAAAAAAAGAAGTGCAAATGGCCCCACCTTGTAGGTGCTGGGGTGAATGGTGGCTAGTGAAGGGGTTGCTGGACAGGAATTCATGAGTCCCATCACCAAGGAGTAAGGGCTCATGTTTGAGCTAACGGTGGGCACATTTCTATTTCAAGAAAATCAAAAGTTATTTATCTAAGTGGAATTTGCAGCACATAGCTCCTTGGATTTGTCTACCTTATGGAGATAGTGACTTCTCAGTCTGGTTGCAGAAGAAATAAATAAATATTTGATGCAAGACACCCAAGGAGACATTGGTGAAGGAGCCCTTCATTACAGCTTCCATTTTCCATCTTCCTTCTTTTTCTCAGTGTTTCAAATCTCTGAGCAGTTGGATGTGGTGTTATTACTACTTCTCACAGTGTGATGTTTTCACAAGTGTACACTGCCTGCTTGCTTCCCTTCTGGGGAACAGGGCTTGGGCGTCTCCAGAGGATAGGAGAGGAGCTTGTGTTGCGTAGAAAGCTATATTCAGCATAAAAAGCTGAACATCACACCACTGACTATATTTTTTTTTAATCTTCTTCACTATTTTAGCATCTTCCTGGCCATTTTCTGAGCTCCAAGAGTACAAAGACTGTGCCTTCCTTGTCTTTGTTTTGCCAGTGTCTAAGAAGGCTTTCAAATCAGCACTCAGTAAAGATGTGAGTAAGTGTGGCACTTAGGGTTAGTCTTTACTTCTTGCCAGTGGTCAACCTCTGTGCCTGGGTTCTTCTGGATGTTAGCTGGAGGGACTGGCTTTTGCTTCTGATATCAGTTGCAGCTTTCCTGGATCGATGCAAAATGGTCCTCATCTCTGAAGTGAAATCATAAAATGTTAATGTTAAGTGGCATTTCATTTGCCTTTACCTCTTTCCCAACTTTTGTGTCAGCATGGGTCCAAGGAAGCAGCGTTTCCTTTCAAAACAGTTAGTCTTGGAACAGAACTGTTGTTGTGTTGTATACTCACTCATGGCAGAAAATGGTTAATAACCTTCCAGTTTAGTTTCCTCCTTTGTAAAGCGGAAACTATTATGCTGTTTGTAAGCTTATTGTGAAGACTGAAAGAGATGATACATGAAGAAGGCTTTCTACCCTGGTAAGCACCCTTTAATGCTAGTTTTTAAATTAAACATTCCTATATGAAAACCAAGAAAATAATGTGCCAACTTAAAAGACCTCATTCTTTGGATGTCTCAGTTCCATAAGTTTCTTGCTGTGTGCTTTGAGTAGTATTTTTAGGAACTCCCAAAGCTACCTTGATTACCTTTCTATTTCAGCACTTTGGTGAAATGCGAGCTTGCCAATGTCACTGCTGGTGGGAAGACTAAGGCTGACAAATGATGCCCTCAGACTCCTCAGGACAAGTTTGGGGCCCCTCATCTCATTTGCTATTTCTATACTGTACGTGGGCTTTAGGTAGGAGAACAAGTGTTTTGCTTAAGGCTGCAGAAATCACAGTGTTTGTTTAATGATTAGTACAGCTTGCTTTGTAATTATGATTGCATGGGCAATTCTGCACAATCCAGGGAACTTTTGCAAAGTAATGACAGTAATTTACAGCCATGTGGTTTTGTGTGGATGCTTAAGTGCTTGGTCTGTGGCCTGCTTGCATGCCCCATTGCCTGCCCGATGAACCTATTCCCCACCTGCTCTGCTTCCCCTCTCTTGATGAAGCACAGTGGAATGAATGCTGTATTTGTGTGAAAGACAAAGGAAATAGAATGTGCATTAGGGAAGGAATATTGAATCTGCAAGAAATTCCTTTCACTGTTTCCTTCGCCTTTCAATCAGTGCAAACAGCTCAGTTTTCTTTCTTTCCTTTTATTTCCAGAAAGAGAATGGAACGTAAAGTCAGTGCAAGTAGGGTGAGCATCTAGAATTTTAAATGAACCTGGAAAATTCCTCTAGGCTTCAGGTAAACTCTTGTGAGTGTTTCCTTTCCACTGGGTGTTTTTAGATAATTAAAAACTAATTTAAGTAAATTTTCATAGCGTATGGTTCCTTATATGCATGTTTTATTCATGATGACAAGCTTTTTTGAAAAAAAAGCACTGTGTTTGAGTCAAATCCAAGTGTATGAGAAAGGTAGAATGATAAAGTAAAAGGAAAACAGTAATTGAGCATTCAGTTCCTGCATATTGCTTTTTTAAAATGTGCCACATCCTGAAATGAAATTCTGCTTAGAGGTGCTGTGTTCTTAAAAATAGGAAAAATGAAGATGTTGGTTCAATTCTTCAATAAGCCAGTCCCAAAGAATTTCCTTTGAAGTTGTTTTATGTGCTTCCCACTGAAAAACTTTAAGATAAGTTATAACTCTGCTTTGTGCTTTGAAAATAAATTCAGCACATTAATTGTATTTATGGGAGAAAGTAGTAAATGTCCCAGAATGAATACACAGCCATAATTTACTCAGAGGGAGCTGCTACTGCCCATAAACTTCTCCTATGCACCTCTCCTGCTTTATGACATCAGCCAGGCTTGCAAATGAATCACTGCTTTGTGCACCGCGAGATCCTTGCACCATGTAAATTTTCACTGATTGATTATCCAATAGGATTATTTTTATTGCATTTTTTTTTTGCTAATTTTCCAGGAGATCAGAGATAGTCCATACTTTGAGGTAGGGTTTCAGTTTAGTTGTGCACCCATTTGGATTCCAAAATATATGAGGATAGTTGGAGAACTACAGGACAGCTGCCAGGGGTCTCTACAGGAGGAACTGAGGAGCCTGGTAGGACAACTTCAGTCTACAGGCAAGATAATTGGATATATGTAGCTTTGTCTTTGTCTTTAGATGGGACAAGTGAATGGACACACTATAGTGGATATAGCATTAACCCAGTGGTCAAGTGTCTATACTAGAGCTCTCTGGGCCAAACAACACAAAAGCAAAACAGAAAAGAACTATACTATATACAAATCTCTGATAGGAACAGCTTTTCTTTGGGGTCAGGATAATAGACACACAGTGTCTGAGTAAGTCTTCTCTCATTGCTGGGCCAAATACCCAACACCCAAAATGAAGGAAGGAAAGTTTATTTAACTCACAGTTAATGGAGGTTTCAGTCCATACTCTGCTGACTCCAAGGCTGAGTGGCACATGGCAGAGGACAGCAGTTCATGGTAACAGCAAAGAGCAGAGAGCAAATGGGAGGAGCAGTGGCAACAATGGCAACAGAGAAGTCTGTCTATCTCTCTTATGTTACATTCAGACTATCCACCTCAGACTGGGGGTAGCACTCACACCCATAATCCCAGCAGTACTCAGACTCATAATTCCAGCTTGGATCACCCATAATCCTAGTGGAGTTAGTCACAAACTCTAGAAGTCTGCCCCATGACTGCGTAAAGCTTTCAGGGGACAACTAGAGACAAACCATAACACACAGTAAAGGTAGATGGAGAAACCATCTCACCATGGGAAGGGAAGCTTCTTGGCTTTGCAAATTGAATCTCCCGTGACTCGCTACTGGTAGCAGAGACCCTTAGCTACATCAGGTGAGTCCTGGGAAGAAACCTGGCAGCATAAGGCATGGGCCACTCCTCTGCCATGACTCTCCTGCCTTCCTTCTTTCATACAGCAGATGAAGCCCTCTCATTAATATAGGGACAGCTGAGACTTCAGGAATCAGCAGCTGCTGAGAGAGCTGGTTGTAGTTCACCTGTGTGGGAAGTAGGTGCACAGTGCTTGAAGACTGAAAATTATCCCCTCATGCTGGGGGATGAAATCCAGAGCAACAACATGATTCTTCATTCTGAGATTCCAGCTCTGCTTGTGAGTGGGTATGGTTGGAGAAAATTGCGATCTTCCTTTGTATTCATCGAGGTAGTTGAGTTTCTTCTTTATCTGATTCATATTTGCTATCACATGAATGTGTATGTGCATAGGTAAATAATAACCGATCCATGCCATTTGGGGAAAATATCTGCCTATATCTTAACTATGTGCTGCCAAGAATTACAAATAGTTTTCCAAAGAAGTATCATTTGATTTATGCAAATTCTTTTATAATCTCCCCGATTTACATGGCTTTTGTAGTCTGTGTCAAAACTGCCTCTTTTCTAGTGCCTTCTATAGCTGTTCTTATGGTAAGAAATAAAATCCTGTTGGTTTTTCCATACAAACAGATGAATACAAATAACAAAGATACTTAAAAACTCATAAGACTAAAACATAAAGTGAACAATGAAACCAACTATTCACATAACAATCAATACTACTTAAGAACTGAGTATAATATGACTTTAGAACTGTAGTCCACACGACTCCAACGCCAGTGTGTCAAGGTGCTTTCCAGCTCCTTTGGAAAGTTACAAAAACAGTACAGAGAAATACTTTCACTAGAGATACCTAAATTTTTGATATTTTGAATTTAGCAATCAAATAAGGTAAATTATTAAATGTTTGAATTTTACCATTTATTACATAATCAGAAATGGTGTTATAAATGCAAGGCAACTACTGATACATGGAAAATTACAAAATAAGATAAACCTAGAAATTAAGCACTTAATGTACCTGAATTTTCAAACTACAAAGCATTTGCAATTATACAGCACCTGTAAATAGCAAAGCTTATGACAGCAATGAGATTTTAATGCATTTGAATGACAAGTAACTGATGTTAATAAAAATAAAAGAATATTGTTGAAAATATTGAAAGGTCCCAACTCCTTGACTGGCATTTATGTATTGTCATTTCCTCTATTGATATTAAAAACTTTTCAAAATTTCAAGTATATTGAAAATTTTCCTTCACTAGTATGGGTCTTTGTAGAACACACATCAGATAGGGCCACCAGGAAAATAATAAAACAACATTAATTAACTTAACATATCTAATCACTTGAACTTGGAATACACTAAGAATTCCAACATAAATTATTTGGCGTTTGACACTACTGGGTCAATTCTGTTGTCTGATTACAGAATTTTAAAAAGGAAGAGGAGAGCCTCCTTATAGGGTAGTTTTAACTAAGCACCACGCTTACTCAGAAGGTATTGCTAGGTACATTCTTATTCCCTATTTCCTACTAAATTTATAATTCTACAGATTTATTCTTTGTTATTACCCAAAGATGATGCCACTCGGGACTCTGAACTCCTCACTGCACAAAGGAAAATACAATATGGCGCTAGCAGCGCTGTACGTGATAGTGCCCAAGCGTTTTCCCACTTATTAGCCACCAGCCTACTGTGCACTGATATTAGTGTACTTCTCAGTCATTTTCTGAGGTGAATGACGTGCTAGAGAACATCAACAAAGAAGTTGTTAACCCAGAATCACAAAAACATGAAGTCCAAGAAGCCAACAAAAGATGCGATTTTTAGTGTTGTTTGTCAATCTTGGATTTACTTTTGGTATCACCTTTTCATTTTAATTTGATGATTAGCAACTTGTTATGGTACTGTATGCATGCATGCAGTGTATGTATGCGTAGAATAAAGTTAAGACTTGATTAAATCCTATTTTCCCACTCAAGAACAAAAAGAGTCGTTAGGCCTGCAAAAAGTATAAGATTGTTAAACAAGGTATAAAGTCTCATACAAAAATCTTTAAAAAACATGACAATCTTGTTCATATTTTTTTGAAGAGAGTGGAGGCTAGAAATAGGATGCATATTTAACATATGTTTCAGGCCTTCTTTCTGATTTCTGATTTGCCATGTTATTTGTTTTCCTATGAAGTAATCTTCATGTTTTAGACCTAAGAAAGTGAATCAGTTTTGGTGCTTTGTGTCACTTGTTTCTGCCTTCCACTGTTTGCAGTGGCTTGATGGGGATGTTTACATCCGATTCATGCTTTATTGTTAAGTGCGTAAGATGTTATCATAAAAGTTGGAATAGCGTCCAAAGAAAACTTAATAATTTATTTAACAAAATCAGAGGCCAAACAAATTATCTTGTACATTTAAATTAAAATATAGCAAAGGAAAAGACACAAACCCACATAGACACAATTCAACGACTATGATCACTAGCAAGTTTGTAGCTCATTGAAGTAGTTCTTTAATAATTTATAACTGAATGCTAGTAACAGATGCAGAAAACCTAAGGGCAGAATAACCACTGAATTTTAGAATCTTAATTGGACTTGGGAGGACAATTAATGAAATATATTTGACGTGAAATCATTAAAACAAAATTAATTCAAGAAGAGTAGAAAAATATTAAATATGAAGTATAAAATTAATGTGATAGAACACTTTCAAAATGTTAAAAACCAAGACTTGCAGGTTTTTGTTTTGTTTTTTTTTTTTGTTTTTTTTTGGGGGGGGTACAAGGTCTCACTATGAAGCTTGGACTCATAGTGATCCTCCTGTTTTCAACCTCCCTCTCGCTGGCATCACAGGTGTGCGTGAGTCACCAGCATGCCTGGGGGTGGGCCCGACGTGGCACCCAGTGCCAGGGTTCTGGTCACTGCTCTTGCCTAAGCAGGCATTTAATTTGCTGAGCCATCTTGCTGGCCCAAGACTTTTAGCTTTGAAATCATATATTAGTAGATATTCTTCTGACAATTTGGTTTAAAAATGTGAGAATATGAACAATGAGATTATAGTTGCAGAAACTGAAGCAATTAAAATTGTAATAGAATTGTGTGAAAAGCTTTATGAATACATAGAAAAATGTCTAACTCAGGAAGAGCCAAGCAAATAGGATAAACCAGTACCACCGAATAGCTTGAAGACTGAAACTGTTTTTATTACCAATGCTAATAAAATTAATTTTCTGGAAAGGGCATATAATTCTATTTGCATTTATACTACCCAGTTTGCAAGATGTTCTTAGAAGTTAAGCTTATCTTGTATATTTTAAATATGAGTACATTTCCAAAGCCTATGTTCATATTTTTCTAAAATATTCTTGATTTGAAAACAAATTTTAATCGTGAAAAAAATCTAGTTGGGGAAGTGAAATTGGAAAGCAAGAAAGGATGGAGTTTAAGTTGCTTTACTGGGCAATATATTTGATAGAATTACAAAATAATTTTTAAATGTCTATCAACATAGGAAAACAAAGTTGTCATACACAACTAATATATTTCCAAAAAGAAAAGAAAATCAGATATATGGGTAAGATATATAAAATGAAAATATTATCAAAAACATATAGAATAATATTGCTACCTGAATAGACTATGCAGCTATGTAGTAGTTATAAACCAAGAACAAATCTGTATGAAAATAAGGTGGATGATGAGACTTTCTCAGGGCAGCTGACTAGAAATATTCATTTTATGGCTATAAATAATTGGTTATAAATAAAAAAGTACTTGAACATATCCAAATATTAGGAAACTAAATAATATTGAAACAATGTCAAAGAATAGGTCAAAGAAAATTTAAAAACCTTTTGAATGAAAAGAAAAAACAAAATTTAATAAGATGTTGTCATTAAAGCAATACTTAAGAGGAAGTTTCTACCATCAAATGTCACTTTAAAAGATGATGCCCAGTCACTGATTTCAGCTATCTTTTTAAAAATACTAAAAGAAAAATAAGTTCTATATAAAGCAATTAGAAGAAAGTAATAAAGACCAAAGAGAAAAATCAATGATACTGAAAACAAAATCAGTAAAGAAAAATCAACAAAACCAACATGATTTAAAAAGAAAATGACAAATTAGTAGTGAACAGACTAGGAAAGTATATCTGACATCAATATAAAACCTACAGCTATTAAGTTGACAGTAAGGAAACTTACCAACAGCTGTTCCAATAAATTGAATTCTTAATGAAAAAATAGATTCTCAAAATGTTATATACAAGCAAAATATACTCATTAATTATTTAATCTAAATGCCTCCTTATAAATTATATTTAAAATACTTTCTACAAAGATGTTTCTAGATGTAGATACTTTACTGATATTTTCTGATATCATTTAAGAAAGTAATAGTACATTTGCACTCAATTTTTACAGAAATCTAAGGCAAGTCAATAATTCCAAAATCATACAGATACAAATACTAACACCAAATGCAAAAGAACAATATTGAAGAACTAAATATAAACATTTTACATAAAAATTTAGCAAACTGAATAAAGCAATATACACAGCATGGTAACCAGAAGTGATTATTACGTAAATGGAGGATAATTTCAATATTTTAAACAATTATATCTGTAACTCAACATATTAATGAATTAAAGCTGGAAATAGTTTTTGTTCTAAGATTTATACTGTATCTTTGACTTACAATTTATTTAAAAGGCATTGTATGATATCTTCTCCTAGTATTAGAAACTTTAAAAAGTATATT